ATGATAACACAAGTTTCGGACCTTTCCTTCTTTTTCATTCTCCGCTTTAACATTGTACACTTTAGCTTTCACACATGGTGCCACACGGCACTTCCCCTTTTGTCCAAACTCCTCTTTCTCGCACCGCATTGCCTTTCTTCTTATTTTAGACACAACTCTCTCACACAGTGGAGCTGGCCATGCGGGCTAGGCCCCATGACATCATCAGCCACTGTCTCTACCAACTGTATAGTACACATGTACAAACAACCCTGTAGTAGTATATAAACCCCAATAGATCCAGGAGACTCCTCAGCGAGTCCTCCTGTTGTTAACCAACAAACTCACTGCAGCCTAAGGGGTAACCACTCCCTCAACATCTTCTTTATAGTGTGTTCTTGTGTGCGCCAGAGTAACTAACTCTTGGTTGTTACATTTACTATACAAAATGGCACCATCATACACACCAACATTGTAACAAGTTGGCAGAACACGTTTCGGAAGAAAAGGGTTGCACAGCACACCAAGATCAATATCTTTTGCATGGACTGTTGACAAACCTCCTTTTAAGTGACACTGAGCACAGACAGCACATGGTTTTCTTCCCTGATGAGATACAAACATCTTACTCTGCCACTCACAAATTATTTTGATGCGCTCTTTCCAGTTACACATTCAAGGGAACACAGGCAAAGGACATGCAGCAACGTACTTCACCTGCTTTGCATTGGCCCGTTACACTCTGCTTTTGTCATTCATGTGCATCTGCAGCATGTTCATCATCGTCAGGAAAACGGGAATCACCATTTTGACAATCAACAAGGAGTTGTTGAAAAACTACATAATTTCTAACTGAACATGAGTTTGTACATTCATGACGGCAAAGGTCTTTAACCAATGCCTTTTTCACAGAAAATTGCTTGGCACAGACTGTGTGAGCCCTCGCAAGAGATCCCAAATTGGCTACCGTGAGATGGGAATAATAATCAAGGAATTCCTTCAAGCTATTAACCTTGACAACAGTATGCTTGCTGACAGGCCAGAGCTGTTCAGATGTAAAATATGTTCCTGTGTACACACCAATGAACTGAAAACTCTTGCACAGACGGGCTGTGGACAACATGTCTGCACAACGTTTTCTTCGCTCATCCAAAAAATTGTGAACAACAAGTTTCACTATGTTGGTAAAACAACGGCAAAAGCCCAAAAATTATACAGAGCACAACCGAGCATGACCAAAACATCCAGAGCACAACCACAATGCACCACCATGAATATAAAATAAAATAAAAAGAAAGAATAAATTAGCAATGAAATAAGGGCAGACATGCGGCTTACCAGCTATACCGCCTCCATTGCCACAATTGAGACTTGTTTGTGGAGCTCCAAAGTTGATATATAGATTTTCATTGGATCTCGCAGAGGGAAGAGACAAGGGGCCTCCATTGGTATCTGTAACAATTGAGGAAGGAAACTTTCCAATAGGGGTTTTAAAACCAGAGCTCACCTCTACAGAAAGACATCTCAGCGAAAAAGTGAGCAGTAAGAAAGCAAAAAGGCACAATGAAGAAAAAGCAAAAGGGATTTGGCAAGGAACGGAATGAAACAAAGCAAAACATGTGTAACCCAGAGGACGGTCCGGTTGGAGTTGAAGTGGACAATCTGACACTTGAAACCTGGTAACCTTTGGTACCAGGAATAATTGTCTGTCACAAGAAATAGTTTTGCTTCAGGAGGTACAGTATAGCCTATGATAAATGTAACTATTCTACAGTAGTAGGAAATCACAACATTGTAATGTTGAGAAAGGTATGACAGCGCATATAAATGATAATTGATGAATTTGGTGATTGCCCAAGGTCTAAATTACGTATTTTGATGTTTATCAAAATTTTATGATTATGCTATGTTGTTAACCATAGGTTTGACAACTTTAAACATGATCAAATATGATAAGAGTTTTGTGGGACATCCTGAGGATTGTTACAATAACACAATTTCCGGACATCTCCTTTCCTTTTTATTCTCCGCTTTAACTTTATACTTTAAGTACCACGCGGCATTTCCCTTTCTCGCGCCGCGTTGCCTTTCTTTTATTATTAGACTTAACTCTCTCACGCAGTGGAGCTGGCCATACGGGCTAGACCCTATGACATCATCAGCCACTGCCTTCATCAACTGTATAGTACACATGTACAAACAACCTATAGTAGTATATATACCCCAATAGATCCAGGAGACTCCTCAGCGAGTCCTCCTGTTGTATACCAACAAACTCTCTGCAGTTTAAGGGGTAACCACTCCCTCAACATCTTCTTTATAGTGTGTTTTTGTGTGCGCCAGAGTAACTAACTCTTGGTTGTTACAAGGATTACTTGTGATTCATGAAAAGCCTAGAATAGGTTCAACTGAGTCACCTTTTTGGGGTATTGGGTGGATCTCCCTATATTTTATGTCACAAACTCATGTTCAACACCCTGAACTTGGTGTGACTGTCACACTGTCATCGGTTTTCTTTTGACAAATATGTGACCTGCAACAGGTCTGGGGTTGGATTTGTGGGACATTGGTTTAGAAAACAATAGCATGACTTTTATCCTTCCTGTGCTATAGGAATGATATTGTAATTGCAACAAAGTGCAAATGATGACATTTTTTGTATTTTACTCTGGCTATATCTCTGATGTTCATTTGAGTAAGTGGCTGCCTCTCATATCATAATTTAAGCACTTATTTGGTACAAAGTATGAGTGCCTTGTAGACAAGTATGCTCATCAGCACCATTGAACACCTGTATATGAGAAGAAGACATAATTTGGACAACTACAGCACATATTAGTCACTTCCTTTCCTGTAACGCCAACCCTCAGCATATTTGAGCCTACAACTGTACCCTTAGCCTCTATTGCTACATATTGCATTGAGGCTGTAAATTCACTTGACATATACTACTACACAAAACTCGGCTTGCTAAAGGTAGTGGATATAACATGTCTACAGTGTGTTGTTGGTAGGGTACCAATTGGCCAGAAATGGGCCATTATCAACAGGAGTGGTGGTCCCACTCGTGCATTATACACTGGCGATGATGAAAATGAAGGCAACGATCCTTGATATACATATTGAATATAGGGGAGTATATTATATATATGCATACACAAACGCACTCAGTATTCATTCTTCAGTTGATGTTATATATACTGTACACAGCTGCATAGCTAGCTATGTACATTTTTATAAGACTTTTGTAGTTAATACTACTAGCACAATGATATATATATATGTATATACCTAGCTATAGGGTCTGGAGTCATAACTTACAGGCAGGAGCCTTGCCCAATGGGCTTGCAAACAAGCTGGTGAAAAGGCTCAGATTTCTGGGGGTTTATCACCACTGTATTTGCATGTGCTGACTCAATTTATTCAGTCACACAATATGGGTTGATGTCACTGACTCATGTGGTGATGCAAAATCACCTTCTCTTCACCCAGCACTATTAAACACCTGACCTGTGGGTTATCTTTGCAAATCACTGTATTTGTGGGTAATTATATCCTGCTTTTGGGTTCACAGTGTATCTCCAGTAATGAATTAGTTGAATCATGATTCTTAGTCTGAATGCTCAGTACATGTGGGCTAGCCTTGTCACACTATGTAGGCCACTCAGACAAATTACAAGGACCAGACAGTTGATAGCTCTCAGAGTTAATCAGCTGTCTCAGCAATGTCAGTTGATCTGATTGATGCCTGATCCGAGGTTTTCGCAATCTTTTGTACCTTATCTGTTGTCTATATTTCTGACAACTTTTTCAGATCAAATTCTGCCAAATCACACCAAGTGGATTTTTCCAACGCATATACTCAAAGGATAGGCTCCCAGAATTGAAGATAGTCCAGCTATTATTGTAATTCATTTGCAATATACAGCACCTTATTGAAAGCCTTCAAAACTCCCTTGGTTCCACTGACCCATACCCATATTTGCCATGGGCATTCCTCCCATACTACTCATACCCATACCCATTCCATTCATCATCATCATTCCATCTCCTAGATTTCCCTCCCACATTCCACCCTCCTGACCTTCACTCCCCACCCACCCTATTCCTCCCCTTTGCATGTGATTAGGCATATGAAAAGTGCCTCCGGTCATCCCATCCATTCCCATTCCCATCATATTCAGATTTCCTGCACCCATATTCCCCATACCCATTGCACCCATAGTCATGTTGAGCCCGAGTGCATTAACAGGCCAACCTACCATCCCATTCATATTCTCCACTCCAACCCCAAGATTGTTCATCCCGCCCATTGCATTCATACCCATTCCCATCATCGGCTGCATCATCATTTGATTTTGGTTCATTCCACCAGGGCGCATACCCATCCCTTGTCCGCCTGGTCGGATCCCCATACTGACACCGCCGCTCATCGGACTGCTTATACCCACACCCACACCTCCGCTTACACCACCCCCCATATTCATTCCGGGACCACTTGACCCTCCTCCGCTGGGACCAAGGTTCCCGCTACGCACTGGTGACTTGGGTCTGAGTGCCTCTATTTCCTGCGTGTTCGGCACCACGCATTTTCCTCCTCCCGACACAGCGAGCTCTTTGTTCCCCTCCTCCCATGCCTCTTTGTCCCAAGGTCTGGCTCCGTCAGGTATCCCAACGCCTTCTTCATCAGCTAAGCGGGAAAATCCGCCAGATAATCGCCTCTCTTCTCCATCAGCGAGAATTGTAACCCATCCACGCCTGAGGGAAGAACGCGCACGCCCAAAAAGTTCCAGGCGACGCATGCCAAGGCAGAAATTTTCAATGAGCGTATACATCTCCGGAGGTTTACGAGTGGGATCTTCAGGATCGCCCTCCCAGATAATTACATCGGTGTCTAAGAAAAAAACGACAATGAGCTGTAGCTTGATGTTTATAAACGAAAGCATCTCACCAACATTACAGTGAACAAACCAACTATCCGTTGAGCGACGCACTGTTCCTCTTATACCCATTAAACAATGCTGCTTTGTTCGTGTGAGCAGAGACGTAGTCGGCGGATCCGTCTAGAATTACTTAAGATGGTAAGCATGTCCAAGATATAACATGTGCGACTTTAGCAAGCTAAACTCACACCTGGTCCTCGATTATTACTCCTGTTAGTTTTCACCCAAACAACATCTTCACATCTTCTGTAGCCCCACTTTGCGAGTACTTCCCTGCCTCTTTCTAGTCCCTCCCCAGCACCACTACCTACCCACATGAATACGAAGGAGGGGTCTGCGGCAAGAGAGGGTATAGGAAGTTCTTGTAACTCATCCCAGCTGAATGATGACGAAAAGGGTGGATCCAGAAGGATGACATCAAATTTATTTGGGTGCAACGTGTTCAATTGTTGAAAGGGGAGATATGAAGATAGTAGAGCATGAGTATTCACAGAATCTTTCTTTAGATTCAAAAGACGTTGTTGTTTTGGGTACCTTTTTCATTTCAAAATGAATAATGAAAGCAGATCACGATAAATAGCTTGAAATTATTCGAAGACGACACACGCACTCTTCAAACCTGCGCTCTGGTTCAGCGCCCAACACCCAGTTCTGCGGCCATTCCCCACCATCGACGTAACGCTGTGAATAGTCGTTACGTATGGTCTCTTCTTCGGGGATGTAATTTCGATACTGAGCAACGCGAGCCCGTTTGGCAGGAGGAAGATCAGTACGTTGACCGTTCGTCCTGCTACCAAGATTTGGTGACAAAGATGGCGAGGACGGCGGTGACGGAGACGGAGAGGGTGGTGGAGATGGGATCATTGGCAACTTCAATAACTCGTGTGGAGGTGATGGTAGCGTTCGTATCTGACGACGATGATTTCTTTGAGACTGACGCACTCGCGATACAAGGTCTGCGTGGGCAGTAAGCGCTCCATGCGCAGAGATCAGGACCTCAGTGGTGGTTGCTGTTGTCGATGCCATTGGCGGTGATTTCCTAGTGTATTCAAATGTCAGTCAACGTTTTTTTCCTCATCGATATACGACCGGTGTTGTTCAAAATATCGTGAGGGATGAAGCTAAGGCATGTCATGAATCTGGCGTGAGATATAAATTATTGGAAGTGGCTGATCGAAATCACGTCTTTTTCTTTTAGTCTCATTTCTTTGCCAAAACTCATAAAGATGGGCAAAGCAACCAAGGCCACTCGAAAATTCGCATCTAGCGGTCAGCTCAAAAAGACCATACAGTCTCGTAAAAAGCGACAGCAAATTCAGAAAAAGATCCAGGGTAGACGAGGTGCAAAGGGTGGAAAAGGACAAGAGAACGAGACAGCCAAGGACGATACAAGTAACGATGAAGAAGAAGAAGAAAAGGCCACAGCTACTGCAAAGAGGTGCGCTTCATCTTTACGATGTTATTCGCAAAAGCAAATTTCAAAATCATACTTAGTAAGGGTAAGGGAAAGGGCTTGTCCGTAGATGATATATTAGGAGCCGGGTTCATGGAGGGCGACGAGGAAGATGATGTACGTCTTTTCCTATCCAAATATTTACGGAAGTAACCTATGATTAGGATGAGGATATGAACGAAGACGTCTCCGATGATGAAAACGATGAGGACGATGACATTGCTGACGATCAGTCCTTTGTCTCTGTCGATGACCTCGAAGGTAATTTCGAGACTTTACGTTGTTCAGATGGAAGTTTATCATGCCAATAGATGAAGGGGACGCTCATGTGCTTGAGCTCTCAAAATTAGCTGAAAAGGACCCCGAATTTTACAAGTACCTTCAGGACAATGACATGGAATTACTGGATTTCAATCCTGCTACTCCAGATGACGACGACGACGACGGAGACGATGGAGAGGAAGAGGAAGATGATACTATGGAGACTGATGTTGTACTCCCCATACTCACCAAGGATATATTGCGTGGTTGGCAAAAAGCCCTCCTAGAGGTATGTATGGCCTTTTTTATTAGCAAATTCAGTGTCTGACATCTATTCTCAGCATCGATCTCTGCGTGCTCTTCGAAAACTTCTCCTTGCTTTCCGCTCGGCGGCTCATATGAACGAGGACGACCAGGTTCTCGTCTGGAGTATTGATAGTGCAGCAGGTAAAGAATCTGCAGTCCACTGCATATCTTCTTACTAACTTGAAGTTTAGTTTACAGCAAGCTGATTACTACGACTTTGAAATACACTCCTATAATACTAGAGCACCACATACCCTACAAAACACTCGCAAATGGAAAGTTGTACGTGGCTTCATTCTTTCACAACGCTGAGAACCTTCTTACCTTCAGATTCTACATAGCAAATCTCCGACACAATCCACAAAACAAAAGACGCTGCAAAAACTGATATTGTCTTACTTTAACAACGTCATACATCTCATTCCACAGGTTACCGATAAAGAGATGCTCGAACTCACAATCGCTGAGAGCGCAAAAATTCTTCCTTACGTTATCACCAGTCGCAAGGCTATCAAGTCTTATCTCAAGGTTTGTCATTCGCAAAAATTGCTCTATTTCAATCGGACTTGATCCCTTCCGGACAATAGACCTGTCTGGAAATATGGTCTACTGCGAACGATAGGATACGGATAACAGCATTTTTAGCAATCCGAAGGCTCGCCTCTTCAACAGATGACTCTATCTTAGATATCGTGTTAAAGGTGAATTCATCAACTTTGAACGGGGTGTATTTTCTGAAACACCTCCACAGGGAACCTATCTTGAATTGGTTCAGTCGTCTAAATCAACCACTGCTCACAAGTTGCCCATGATCAACTTAATGAAAAATTCAGCCTCTGAGCTTTTTTGCATAGACCATGCCATGGCCTATCAACATGCCTTTGGGTACATCCGCCAACTTGCCATTCTTTTACGGAATAGCATGAAAGTTAAAACCAAAGTACAGCCAGTCTCTTTTAATTCAATATCCCGATCACTGAGCACTTTCGTTATAGGAAGCGTACAAGCAAGTCTACAATTGGCAATATGCTCACTGCATCGATTTTTGGGCCCTTGTGCTGGCTCGTGCTTGTGATATGGAAGCAGCGGCTGAAAGAGACGGCCAGGCAAGTGAACTGGAGCCTCTCATATATCCTCTTGTTCAGGTTAGCTTAGGTGCTATCAAGTGCGTTGCTGGTCTTTTCATAATATTGTGATAATTTACGAGGTGACATCTTAGATTGGTACCCAACGCCCGTTCCTACCCATTCCACCTGCATATAGCTCGTTCTCTTCTTCATCTCACTAGACACAGTCGTACCTACATTCCCCTTTCGCCATATGTTCTTCCTATCATCACTTCTACTCTCGCTTCCACGGGGAAGCCAAAGTCATCGACTCTTCGCCCATTTCCGTTCGACACCAATATTCGCGTCCCATCTCAGTACCTCAAGACTCGAGTGTACACAGAGGGTGTTGTTGAGGAGGCCACAGTACTTCTTGCCGAATGGCTTGCTACTGCACATGTCCAAGGGAGCATCGCTTTCCCTGAAATTGTTGTTCCAGTAGTCGTCGTGTTGCGCAAAATTATAAAAGGTGCCAAATCAAATGCGAAGGGATCTATGGTCAAACAAACAGAAATGATAAAGAGTTTGGCGGAACGTGTTGAGGAGAGCGCGAAGTGGGTAGAGCAAAAGAGAAAAGGTCTGAATTTCTCTCCAGGAAATATGAACGAGGTGGAAAGCTGGAAATCGTGTATGAAGGTGGAAGACACACCATTAGGTAAATATCTGAAAGTTCAGCTCAAGGCTAGGGAAAAGCGAAGAAAACTGGTGGATAAAGTTCGTCCTAGTTTGTCCTCTTCCATTGTCGTAGCTCAGCTGACTGACTTCTACAGGCGGCTAGGGGTGAAGATGAGATATTGGAGGACTAATTACATAGCATCATGGCGCTTCCTTCATGAACTGCGCTTTAACGTATTGTGACGTCCTCTACTGAATCAATCCGATTTAAGCAAATTTGTTATTCAAGGTGTCACCGCAAGGTTAGTAATACAGAGCAGGGACGGATCACAACACAACATTGCGGGCGGCAGTGAAGTACTGGTAAACAGTTCTGGATCCATTTCCTCACGGAACCCATCAAGTGGCGTCGATGAGGCTGATGCTGAGATTATGGCTGTCCGAAGCGTACGGCTTTATTCTGCGAGACAAGATAGCCATTCGGACCACCATTGTTGAGGGAGATGCTTACCGCAAGGAGGTTGAACAAGTCAGAATGACTCACCTGGCTCAGTGCGGGACCTAAGTCAGGAATTTGCTGTTTTATTTGAGATTGAGATTCCGGTCCGAATCCTCCTGCAGTCAGCGCCTCTAGGCCTCCACAACGGTTTGCGATCAATGGGGCGACCACAAAGACTGGGTCGGCTAATGATTTAGTAGCCAGGTAGTGTTCTGTCAAGGAGAGGGACAGCAGGTGGCGTATCTTACAGGGAAAATATAGCAGGTACCCGTATCCGAAAAATGAGCTTTAACCCATGGAGCCGAGGACAAGTCGTATCACTAGTAAGGTTGATATTTCCCGGGTGTGTCATGCTGTAGTACCTGTACATCAAACCTCTGCCTCAAGCCAAAATAACGTCGATCAGCAGCAGGGATGAGTCCGGCGAGTAGATAAACTGCGCGTAAGATGGAATGGACTGAAACGTTCGTTAAATTTAGCTATGACAGTACTCTCACAGGTGACATGAAACATAAAGAGCGTCAAGTTGGTCAAATATTCATGGAGCCATTCCATAAACGAGTGAGTTGTTTGGGCGATTCGTGGCAGGCGATGGACAGTGGTATAAACGGCTAGGAGAAGACAAATATCGATCGGATGTGTGGCACAGGCAGGGCGTCCCATCGGACCGATTGCTTAGATGCGAGGGAGAAAAATAGCAGCCCAAATTTCATGCTTCGTAAAGGAGAAAGGGTCTGCGTGACGTATTTTTCACCTCCACCGAGTGCTAACGAGCACCATGTACGGTGAACCGTCGGCACTACCTCCACAGCCCAAAAAAGACCTTCCACCATGGTCGCCCAATCCCCTTTGCACTGTTTTCGAATCCTTCTACAAGACGCTCGTAGTGCTTAGACATCGATGCTGGCTGCAGCGTCTTTTTTGAAAGTGGATACTGCATATTATTTGGAGGGATTAACTTCTGTCCACCAGACAGTTTTATTGTCAAGTGCAGACCTTTTTCTGAATAGCATTGTTCCCTAGAGCCTCAGCCGCTTGTACCGCTTCAGGAGTCAGCTTCGGGTGCGCTGCTAAAGACTGCAGAAAGCTTTTGAGCTGTATATTGGGGCGAAAAGGATCCACAGGCCATGAGGCAGCAATGGTGCTTAATTTCTGCGAGACTTTGGATGCAGCCATACTGGTTACTGTAAGGAGATCCCAGCAATTCTGCAGCGGTGTAGCTGAGTTTCAACTTTCAAACCTTCGCGGAGGACGCCCGTCACGCTTGGACCGTGCTTTGCAGTAAGTATTGTTACTGAAATCTGCAGCATTTTCTTAGCAGTACGATTTGTCTTATTTGAACCTGGGAATCACAAACACCGGGAGCGAATCGTCCATCACACGGCTAATACGGACCACTGACATGGTAGCGGAGCGAGTGTTGTGAGTACAATTCCGAATGCCTACTTAGTCGAGCATCTCGGAAAACATTACACTTGGTAGCACATGCGCACGGAACCTGATTATTTTCCTCCGTGCGTTCTCAAAATACTTAGGCGAGCCGTCTAGGAAAAGACGGCAGAGCCATGCAATCCATGGCGGCGGAGTGCCACTTGTGGGGCGGCATGATATTCCGTCTGCTCTCTCAGTGGACATTTTCCCTGAAGATGTATTTCCGATGGCCATCGAAGTGGAACTTTGCGAAGAGTTCCGTGTCATGGCTACCATGCCACGGCGTTATTATATTGTCGGTAACTGCCTCATTCCTGGAGCTCTCCTCGGCCGGAACGTTGACAGATGGCGAGAAAGAGGTTTTGATTTCGCAATACGGTAAAATCCATTGGAAATACACACACCATCCAACTCGATATCAGTTGCTAATCGGCTAAAAATTGCAGAATGCGACACTGCATGCATGATTTCTGCCCTCAGGCGGCGTTTAGTGCGGTTCAGTACATGAGTATCCCATGTGCTACTGAGCGATCTGATAGCGTACTGATTTCTCATCCTTCAAATTAATTTCAAGGGATGTGACTTCGCTAGGGTGCGTGCGGATTCACAGCACGGTTTCGGGTCCGAAGATATTGTCTTTATCTCCCTGCTCATTGGCTGAGCCGATATCAACACATGTGTAGTTGGGCTCCCTTCTACTCGATGACGGTTTATTTATTTCTGATTTCCTCCAATCCGATTGATCGCATTCTCACCCGCAATTTCGGATACTTCAAAGTAATTCTGCCTAAAGGACGGATGCAATGAGATTCGCATCGACACAGAGTAATTCTGGCTACACGAAATGGTTGTTCTTCGTTCGTGTTCTTCCCTGCCCCGTTCGATTGATGTGCTGATGTTTGGTCTGCTATCAGACTCTTCTGGAAGATGCAGTCCGTGGTAGCACGGCACACCTTTCTCCCATGACAAGGTTTTGCTTATTGTCCCGGGTGTATATTTTGACTCGCTCCCATTTTCTAAGCATTATTTTTTCTCATAACTTCATGGTGCATCGCTGTCGTCGCATGGCGAAAATATGTCTCATGAGCCCAATCTCTCGGAAGAATATAAACTTTCCTATTTCCGATCGAGAAAGTCCACATTGCTTGTGGATAGAAGGTCCTATAGAAGGTCCTCACCTGGACATCAATCTTGGCGGCTCCCGCCAAACTATCTCTCATTGTGGATCAAAATCAATGAGAAGATATGGCAGAACCCTTTCCTAGTGCGATAAGTCCTTCTGCAATGCTATGCCAATAAACTAGTCTTGGTTCGGGTGGTTTCCAACACATGTACCTACTAAGATGTGTGACATTGCTCATGGTGTAGAATTGATTAGATCTCTCAATGACTGGGGGCTGTTTTATGATGTGTTTACATTATGGAAAGAAACAACCGCCCACATCTGCAGTATCTTACACTGCCTCTTCAGCATCTGATGCTTGCAGAACTCTTCACGATGGACACATCTTAAGCTTGTGCACAGTGAAGAGCTAGTAGGTGTCCCCAGTGGGCCCATTTGCATATATATACAAGTAGCAACTGGTGTACTGGATTACTTTCTCTTCAATGCCTGAGCGCTGTGATGTGATGATGGTTTGCGAGGTTGCTGCATTGCAAGGCTGTCCGCACAGGTATATATTGAGCACTGCCACGAGGAGTGGCCTCAGCGCTCGATGGGTGGACATGCGACCCACGGCTGCACTCGACACTGGGAAGACCATCAGGCCTCAGCGCTCAGGCTCTAAGTACTCTTGCAGGCTTTTCTTGACCTTTCCCACCAAACATGGGCTGCTGTGGGGAGTCTGCCAACGCCGACAAGGAGATGGCCAACAGGCCTGCAGCAAACACTACCCCGTTTGTGAACCAGCAGCCAGGTCCGCATCCCAATGCACGACTTTCTGAGAAGCAGGGATCCAACTTTTATTCTGCAGTCCCTTCACCGCCGCCTCCTTCGTTCCAGCTCAATAATGGTGGTGGTTTTACTCAGAACGGCATCCAGAAACAAAACTGGGATGCACCTCCAATGGTAAACCAGTTCAATCCAAACGGCTTTCCTCTGCACACGCCTCCAACGACACCCCCATCGCCCTCCTACAATGGATCCATCTTTCGTGCAAACGTTGGGCCCCCATCGCCGCCCTTGCTGCATCCTCTTGCTGTGCACCCTCCTCGCCATGGACATTCAACATCTCCTTCGCTCCCTTCGTTCACGACTGTCTCACATATCCAGGCGCGCAATGACATCAATCCTCCGTCTGACGAAGGAAAGATGTCGGTATCTATTGATTTTGGTGGGTATGTCTTTTCTTCCACGAACCTCACCTAACTTACTAGGACACAGGAACAACGTTCTCTGGTGTGGTGAGTTCAAAACTCCGAACTCAGACAACACACTTTTTAAACAAAAGAGTTAGGCATACGCTTCTTCCCGCATAGCTGCAGGGAAAGTACAGCAAATTCTGCACTGGCCTGGCTCTTCTGAAACTTTCCGTAAAGTGCCAACTTGTCTGTTATACGATGACAGCGGGCAAGTTCTTGCATGGGGCCTTGAAGCCAAAAATGCTGGTCCAATGCCAGGAACAATGCGGTGTGAATGGTAAGCGATATATACTCAATAGGGCTTGCCTATCACGTTGTGATCTTATTTGTAGGTTTAAGCTCTTTCTCGAACCTCACGCCTTGCGTGATGAAGGAGCGGTAGATCCTCGATTGCCCCAATTGCCTGTCTGTCAAGTTTATTCAATTCAATCCTTTAATGGGCTGATTTGATCTTTGTGCTTACCAACTTCAGCCCGGGAAAAAGGCTTTAGATCTGATTACCGACTTTCTGTCGTGCCTGTGGGAGTATGCCAAAGAGCAGATCACCAGAGACATAGGAGCAGTGGCAGATTTAAGTAAGCTATAGCCTTCGCCTTTACGGAGAAGAGCTGACTTTCAAGTACTGCAGATACTGCGGATGTACTGGTCACTTGCCCTGCAGCGTGGGACGCAAAGGGCTGTGATATGATGCGTGAAGCGGCCATTGTAGCGGGGCTCGTTCAATCTGGTCGCGCTGGTGAACGAGATTGGCGCGATAGACTACGCATTATAACGTAAGTCCCTTCCTCGAGGATACGATTATCACTCATGGATCCAAGATACATATCTACAGAGAGCCAGAGGCTGCTGCAGTGCATTGTGCCCAACTGACAGATCTTCACAAACTCAAACCTAGTCAAGTTTTCATGATATGTGACGCTGGAGGTGGTACAGTCGTACGACACCACATTTTCTCTCTGCCTTTTCCCAACTGATCAAATTGCATCAAGGACTTGGCCATCTATAAGATTATAGGACAGACGGCGAACCTTGAGATTGCGGAGATGTGTGCACGTTCTGGAGCCAATTGTGGTTCTCTTTTCCTCGATTTGCGCTTTAGGGAGCTCGTCAGGACACTCCTCGCCGATCATCCTGCTCATCTCGATGCTGCTAGTCTAGCTTATTTCATGCATTCTTTCAGCGAGACTGACAAGCTGAACTTCAAAGGACAGGTTGACGACGGTACGTTGATTTATGATTAATCGTTGTATTCACTAAAAAGCACGCCAGACACCTACTTCCACTTCACTTGCTTCAACGTGGATGACCCACACGACCCTTCTGTTGGTCTCATAAACGGCGAGCTTGCTATTCCCGGTAATCTCATTCGCAGAGAGGTCTTCGATCCTGTGGTGAGCCAGGTATGCGTCGTCAATGCTATGCAACTCGGCAGTATATCATTAAAGTGACATGCTTTACACAGGTGCTCGAGTTGATTGAGGAACAGTCGAAGAAGACTGATCAAAGGATTGATGCTCTTCTTCTCGTGGGAGGTTTTGCTGGCAGTCACTACCTCTACAGAAAAGTTCAGGTACGTCGATGATCCTCTCAGAGCAGAATCAGAAGTGTAAGCCTGTGCCAGGAACATTTTGGAACCCGGATCAGGGTCATAGAGCGTCCTTCTGATGCTGACACTGCTACCGTCCGAGGAGCAGCACAGTATGGATTGGCTCGTACCACGGTGGTATCGAGTGTTGTAGTTCCTCGGTCATATCTTATGCAAGTAGGTTTTTTGCTTTAGGCTCTCTCTGGCTATCAATTTCTGAGCGTCATCGTCAAGGTAAAACTTCCAGCTGAACCGGAAGACTGGGCCAAACGGCCCGCGTATATCAAAGAGAACAGTGCAGGCGTCTCGATCTGTGAAAAGCGGTAATAGTCTATCCGTGTCAGCCGAATAAGTGAACTTACTTCTAGAACCAGGCTGCAGTACCTTGTCGTGAAAGGTGCGATACTGCGCAGGGGGTAGGTGGACAACCGATATTTTTGTTACAAAATCTTATATTAGAGTACAGTCAACGGATCAAGACAAAATTTTGGTAAGATTCCCATTCGTCTTCTGCATGAGCAAATAGCCTGAAAGTTGGACCGTCAGCAAATTCTCACAGACTAGTCAAGGTGATGAGCATTTGCTCGTTCATAAGACCATCGGATGTCCATACTTACCTAATTTTGCAGACTATACTTTTGTAGCCGTACTGTATACGTCAGATACAGACAAGATGCATCGGTACACTGATGAAGTACGTGGTGCTGTCACACCGTTTCTGCATTTGTGCATGAACCCTGATACTACTCGGTTCGCAGGGAGAGACAACGGAACTTTGCAAATGGACTGTTGACTTGAGCACGTTGCCCGCCTTTCAGCATAATGCCAGCATTCCACAGCCGCAGGGGTTCTTCACAGGTACGGAAATTAGAGAAGGACATGTCATTTTACTGATTATTACAGAATTCGAGCTTGGATTAGAAGTGGACAGCGCTGAAGTCCGTGGCATCTTGCTACACGAGGGACAGGAGTGGAGTCGAGTGGTCTTCGACTTCCTGAATTGAGTTCGATTTGATATGAAGATTATGCTGAAGAGTTTTATTCCTTGGGGTGGCCGTAATTATCGCTGGCCGTAATACTATTAATACATGACCAAAAATAAGAGGCAAAGATGAGAGAAATGTCCGTGAGTGATGCTATTCCGATGGTGGTATTGTGTGGCGGTGGACCAAGAAAGGGATTGTGGGAAAGCGGCAAAAAGGTAGAAGGTGGGAGAGCCTGGGATTACGGACCAAAGTCTACGTACAGTGTACGTAGAGGGTTCTTTTTGTGCGTCGCCGGATGCAAAATTTCCTTTGCTGTGCAGATTCTCGTGGCCATGTGGTATGTGGGACGGATGGCAAGGAGTTACAGTAATGATCGCTGATGTTCGGTCGAATCGATGAGCCGCGCTGGTGTGCTGACCGGGCCTCGGGGAGGAGCGCATGTTTAGCGGTGATGAAATAGCAAGCGTTTCAGTGCGATGCAACGTTCATTGAAGATCCCGGTTTTGGACCTTGGAGAGCTCGTCTTAACGCCCTTTGGGAGAGAGGGAATAGTCCCACGAAGGATATGGAGTTATTTAATCTAAAATATGTGAAGTAATGAGATTTAGATGGATAGCCCGATATGGGGGTGGTGGTTGGGGAAAGAAAGCGAGATCTGTTGTATGCCCTGGTGCCTCCCTGTTCCTGTCTATCGCCAGCTATCGCCTGTACCGCGTCGAGACAAACCGCCCAGCGCTCTGTGGGAGGCGTTGGATCTCGTTGGATGCTCAGCTGGAGATGGTCCGGTTGCATCCGCTGTGCTCGGACATGGCCGAAAACCCACCAAATGGTGTCCGATCGAGGGCAGTTGTCATCAGCCAGAGACTTATAAAGCGTCAAATTTTTCATGGCCCAAGTCTCCTTCCATCTCTACCGCCAACCTGGCTGTCATGTCGACCTCTAAACTGTCCGAAATGCCCCTCGGCATCCTGTGCGAGCTGCTGGAGCCCATCACGGTGCCTGCCGCATCGCCCGACGCCAGGTTCACGAACTGGGGACAGACGTTCAGCTGCAGTCCACTGGGTGTGTTTGAGCCGCGCACTGAATACGAGTGCGAGCTTGTGCTTGAGCTTGCACGACGGGAGGACAAGGTGGTGCGGGCTGTGGGGATTGGGCACAGTCCAAGTGATCTTGCGTGCACGAGCGGCTATATGCTGCGAACGACCAAACTCGACAGACTGGTTCAGGCAAGTCCAATTTAGACCTATTCTCTTTGGCCCTGTTTGGCCCCGCGTCACCATCTAGGCACACGCCCTTACTATCTCTCTCCCGCCTAGGTCGATGCCGAAAAACACTATGTCGTCGCACAGGCCGGCATCACCCTCCAGGACCTCCATGCCGAGCTGGCACGCCATAATCTCGCCATGATCAACGTCGGCTCAATCTCCGACCAAACTCTCGCCGGCATCATCACCACCGCCACCCACGGCACGGGTATCGACTACGGCGTCATCTCGACCCACGTGATCGCCCTCTCCCTTCTGCTCGCAAACGGCGAACGTGTCCAGTGCTCACGGCACGAACGGCCCGATCTCTTCACCGCCTCCATATGCGGGCTCGGCTCCACCGGCCTCATCCTCACCATCACCCTCAACGTCGAACCCGCCTTTCGTCTCAAGGAGCTCCAGCAGTCCATCCCCTTCGACGACTGCATCACAAATCTTCATTCTCTCGTCCATGCTGCAGAACATGTGCGCTTTTGGTGGTTCGTCTCCGCTGGCATCATGCGCATCAGTTCCGCAAATCGCACTCAAGAGGTATGTCCTTCCTTCTTTCCTTCTTTTTTTCTATTTACATCTTCAAATAGCCCCCAAAACCAGTGGCTAGCTGGCTCTGGCACTCCTTCTTCGGATTCCATGTCATCCAACTATTTCTCTTCATCGGTCGCTATTTCTTGTTCTTGAACACCTCGATAGGTCGCTTTGCTGCCTGGCTCGTCAGCGACAACGTTACAGCCATAGACGATAGTTTTCGCATTTTTAATCTAGACTGCAGAGTGAGTCTCGACCTCCCGATCGACTGAGTCTTTTCTCATTCACCACGACCCTGCAGTATCCTCAACATACCACCGAATGGGCTATTCCTTACCAGAACACACGAGCATGTCTACTAGAACTTCAAGCATGGTTTTCGCACGAATATGCCGATCCAAACGGCCTCCGTCCTCACTTTCCGGTTGAGGTCCGTTTCTCTGACGTTGATGACATATGGTTGAGCCCTAGCAACGGTCAGAAGACCTGTTGGATCGGCATTGTCCAGTACAAGTGAGTCCTAATTCCAGTACCGTTTGAATGGCATTGACGTTCCCAAGACCATATGGGTTTGAAGTGCCATACAGGAAGCTTTTCGAGCGATTTGAGACCATTCTCTTTCGTCACGGCGGCCGTCCTCACTGGGCAAAGGCGCACGGTCTACGGCCAGACACGCTCCGTACATTGTATCCGCGATTCGATGATTTCATCCGTGTTCTCGATCAAGTTGATCCTCGTGGGTTGTTTCGGAATGAGTATGTCCAGCGGCATATATTTGGCAAAACAGGACCAGAGGTCGATGCGAGGGTGTTCAAACGCTATGTTCGTTCATAATGCGACTCCCTGGTTTCGTACATACATCACATTTTCTTGTAGCTTACTGTTCACCACTCTTAGCAGTGTTAGTGCGCATAGAAGAACTAAATACGATACATAATGCACAGAACTAGTACTATTCATTCGATTTACGCAAGCACCTATTTAGCTTACAGACGGACATATTCACAAACCAAGTTGTTGTTTAATAGATTCCCTAACAAGCCTCTCATATTCCTGATTGAAAGACTAGGCTCAGAATATGTTTGCTGCAACATAGACTTGTCACTTACCGCTTTGTTATCCCTGTACAGTTTGCAGCAATCGATATTGGCGCCGCTCTCCAAGTTTGGTTCTAAAATAATCTAAGTAAACTTCCCATTTGTGCAGCTAAAACACGCCACATACCTGCCAACATAGATATAACACTAAGAATGACCTTCTCGACGCTCTGGACTGGGCTCCACCTTTCTGATGCCTGTTCATACATAGTGGGATCGTCTCCGGGAGTATGCAGAATGGAGATGCAGACATTCCCATCCGGATAAACTACGGACTTATGAATGAAGAGATGAGTTATCGGCGGAATGTGATGCTCATACTGTTCGGATGGAATAGAGGAGGGTCAAATTTCATCTTGAAAGGCGATAGGGGATAATCAGACGGCTGAGAGATTCACGCTGTTTCAATGCTATCAAGAGCCCAAAGTGGCATGGTATCTTACAAATGTCAATTTTGCAGCGAAGACGCCACCTTCCTAAATTCATAAGCATCTCTGATATATTGCGATAATACATATCGAGCTCACGAAGGGTGTATCTTGTGGTCCACAGATGAGTGCTTCCCAGGTGAAAAAGTCTGACTCGGATACCGGACCTAAGCACCATGAGCTCCCCAAGTTGAAATTGATGCTCGTTGAAGCAGAGTGGAACCAGGCGCACCGGCAGTGAACATTCCATCAGGAGAGCCTGGCACAGTCAAGACTGGGATTAGCTGAATCCAGTAGAGTAGCTGAAGGACAAACCTCCAGAGGTCAATTGCTTGTACTCTGTCATTAACCGCCTCAGCGCTGTAGCATTACCTCTTGAATTCATGTTATGGCCCTTGTTGCTGGTTGCAGATACGTCGGTAGTAAGGAGGACACTCGGGGACAGACGCCTTACCACACGCATCCGGCATATTCCTCAGCGTTAAATCAACTCCGCGAGCGGCTTGTCCACCCTGGCGGCCCACCACCAAACCTTGGACCTTTCTTAGACTGGAACCTTCACATTCAAGCAACTTGTGGCTCAAACCTGAGGACATTCTTAGGGCATCGGACAGGTCAGGCTCAGTGCCAAAGTTTTTTTTTTGACATGAGGCTGTTCTTCTACTCTTTCTGAGAAGATTCAATGGCGGCCTTCAACATGTCCGAGTGCACTTGCTCAATATGCCCTCCGATGGGATCGTGCTCTGTGTAACTGTGACATGGTACAGGTTTACAGGTGGCATGCATGTTCCAAAAGCATATGATGGAACTCAAACTGCACACACTTGCAAATGCACTGCCATGGTGGCTTTGACATGTACGGTTACTAGGCCGCTATGTCCTTCTTATCGACCGGTGTATTCATCGAGGACAAGATTTTGTTGGAGTCAACGTAACTTCTCAATGAGGTCCGTCATTCTGAAGAGGATTCATTCTCCGGTAACTATATAAGTTAACATAACGTTCTATAGCTACTTCCACTGTGCATATACAGATCAACAGATCAAGTTAGCCGCTCATCGGACGAACGGCCTTGCCAGTGTATCAGCATCATGATCAGATGATCCATCTTGAGGGCTGTTATGTCCAGCGTGCCAGTGAGCCCATCAAACACATTTAAACATGTATACTCAGGTGAGGGTCATCATGTAGTACGCGCTCAGGACCCTCCAACTCGCTCCCCTGAATTATAAACACCTTTGTGAACGACAGGTGCAGGTTCGCCTAACTTCCGTCACGTCGTAATTTCCAGGGAAAATTACGATATTGTGATTATCCATGTATAAGAAAAACATTCTCACCCCGCAGCTCCCGTAAGAGGGGGTATTTGAGTTCACGAGATCGAATACCCTGAGATTTAATCGAACCCGCCCAACTTAGTTACAGTGTGAATGCTTCGGATCCAAGGACCATACATATCTCGACAGGTAACATCGAGTTACAGTTCAAGCACTTTCTTGGGTCTGCTTCATTTGATAGCCTGATAGCGGGTGATTCATTCACGCTCAGGCCTTACCTTTCATCAGTTTTGGTCCGATTATGTGGTGTTCGCAGTTCATGTATCATACATGCTATAGTCCACTTTTGATACACCGAGGATCTCTTAGATCTGCTTTTATGTACATATGACGGTCAAATGTAGTTGCTACACGTGGAGGTATTGTGGGTTTGTCAGGAATCAGAAATGCAGAAATTAATGGACGCCGTCTAGCCATCATCAAGCATCATCCAGTACTAGCCGTGGTATTACATTCATGGCCATGAGCTGCCAATGAAATATCAGCATTAGACGACGGAGATAGCAAGACATAAAATACACACCTCCTGGAATAACAACTTCGCAGCGTAAGGAATAGTTAGTTGTGCCATTCTCTTGGAGCTTTTACAATAGGTACACCATCCATTGTATCCCATAAGGCCGCACTCTTGACAGGCGTTGACCTCAAATTTATCGGAGGAAATCATGAGGCGTTCCAGGAGTAGCTGTGTAGCACCATAACCAATCAGACAATCACGCTCCATTTCGCCGAGCCTAAGACCCCCCTCTCGGGACCGGCCTTCGGTAGGTTGTCGTGTTAAAGTTGCGCGTGGCCCCCTACATGGCTATTCTTAGCTTGTATCAGTGGCCAAATTGAGGATCAGTGTACCTAGCTCTAGCATGCATCTTGTCCATAACCATGTGTTCTGTAGCGAGATTAGAACTGTTCAGTGAACTAGACAAGTAAGCAACAACTATCTCACTGAGTTTCTGCATAATTTATAAGATAAATCGATAAGATGTGCGAAATCAGCAGAACTTACTTGGTAATAGATAGGTCCGAAGTACACGTAAGCTTCCATAGGTTCTCCAGTTATACCACTTGTCAGCATATCCTTTCCTGCGTAGTTGAAACCTTTCTCGATCAGAATGCGAGACATGTCTTCCACCTGCCAATTTAAATATTTAAATATTTAATGTGCTTAGCTTAGGTTTAGCTTTATTATTCATACCTTGGAACCACCGAAGGCTGTTCCATATTGTAGTTTACCGCTGAGAACGCCAGCCTGAAAGCAGTGAGCATCACACGTGATCAAGGTAGTTGAGCCCGAACCTTTCCCGCTAATAGCTCTATCATTTTCCCTACAGTCATACGAGAGGGGAAACCGTGCGGATTCATGATGGTGTCTACGTTGATTAATCAGGATAACAAAGTCACTGCCTTTCAACTGCAACCTCACGCACCTGGATTTATTCCCTGATCGTTAAATGGCATATCTTCTTGATTCACGATCAGACCACAAACACCCTTCTGGCCATGGCGTGACGAGAACTTATCTCCCAGTTCTGGTCTCCGCGTCTGTCGGATCAGCACTTTTATCAAGGTCTGATCGTTCTCGGTGTCACTGACCAGGACCTTATCGATATAACCTGCGACAGGTGATTTGTAGGTCATCGGCGAGTTTTTGTATGGAACTGCCGCAGCTTGGCCAGTGAATGAATTGTCGTTGGCATTTGTTGGGGTTTGCTTGTTGATGTAAACGTCTCCTGGGTCAACTCTTTCTCCTACACCTGCTAGACCATCAAGCTGAACGATATCGTACTTTTTCTGAATTTGCCCATTTTCGTCGAGTGGCGCGTCTGCCAATCGATCGAAACTGTGTATCACATCATTAAGGAAACATATGTGCCAATAGGTAAGCGACGATTACTCACGTGCCATTTGGATATTTGCGGATAAGAGTGGCATTTTTGCGAAGCACTTGACATCTTCCGTAGCCACGGTCAAGGCTAGCCTACTGATGATCAGTCATCCTCCTGGAAGTCTGGAGTTGAAATTTCTCTACCTTATTTAGAATAAGAGCATCTTCTATATCATATCCTGAGTAACTCATGACAGCGACTGTGGCGTTTTGACCAGCTGGTAAACGATCATACCCAATAAGCTCTATAGTCTTTGTCTTGACCATGGGTTGTTGTGGGTAAACGGATAGATAAAGAAGCGTGTCAATTCTGTTGAATTGATTGTATCCGATCGCGCCTATCGCTTGTTTACCCATAGCGCATTGATAAGTATTACGAGGGGACTGGTTGTGATGTGGATAAGGGATAAGGCCAGCAACCGCTCCAAGCAAAGTGAACGGTTCGATTTCCAGGTGCGTCGTAGTCGGGACTATATCGGACTCATACAGCGCGATGTATGAGTCATTCTCCTCGTTCACGTCAAGATATTCCACGAGACCTTTACGCAAAAAGTCATCAAACGTAGCTACGCCCTTTTTAAGCAACTGCACACGATCCAATCAGCCCCCCGTTATAACCGTCAGAAAAGCTTATGCCTTACCATGATGTGATCCGACGTGACTCTCGGGCGCCCACTTTCAACGATGATCATTGGACGACAAATGCGACCCCCATCGCTTGCAATGTGGACCGCGTGATGGTGATGATTGATGTAAACGCCCACAAATTCGCTCAGCCGCCCTGCTCTTCGCAGCCTTCGGAAGTTCGAGACAAATCGCGTGGGGTACCGCGTCAAGCCCACAATCGTCCCATTTACGTTAACCACAAAGGTATGAGGTCCGTATATCTCCGTCCCGGTGGCCAAACTGATATCTACAGGGGCATCCTTTACTACCGGGACGGATATAAACACGGTGATAGAAGCTCACCTTCGACGCCGAGCATGAAGGCCAGGCGAACGATCGGTTCTTCTTCTACATCCGTTGTAATATGTGTCATCAGCGCCAAATTCTTCACTAACCCACATGCCTCTCCTTCGGGAGTGTCACTGGGACATAACATACCCCATTGACTGGGTTGTAGCGCTCGAGGCCCACTGACTTTCCTCGTTTTTTCAAATTGCGACGAGATACGTGTCATCATCCCAAGGGCCGAAATAAAGCTCAATCGACTCAGCACATGCGTAACTCCGGCTCGCTCCATTTTGAATCTCTTTAAAGACCAATTTCCTGTTGAGATCGCGCGTATGAAGCCGGAAGTAATGTGGTCCCCCTGAAATTGCATCGTGTTAAACGCGTCGAATTCATTCGTCCGTGAAGGCTTTTTCAAAACTTTATCAATTGAGGACTTCAAGTTGGAGTTGAATGTTTTGAATAGATCTTCAAATAGGAGCGCCAGTAGCTGACCCGCCCTATTCACCGTTAGGTTAGCATTCACACGATTCGCTGAGCAGCGGGCCAAGACCTACAGCTCAAGACGCTTGTTCCCAACGTAATCTCTATCGTCCACCATTTTTTCGTCATCCATTGCCATCAACACTCTGCGAGTCATCGTTGCCACAAAGATGGCTTTTGATCTCAAGTCCAGTCCTTTTACCGGCACATGCGCTAAAACGATTGTCGCTAGAGCCTCCAGAGCTTCCTCCCAAGCCGGCCTTCGGGGGCCAACTACCTTACGATTCACCTTGACTCGGGTTCCTATCCACTCCAGCGCTTGATGATGAGTGAACACTCCGAGCTTTGCTGCTTCCTCCAAATTAGCCGAAAACGCAGACTTGTACGCCTCGGTGTTTCCAGCTGTCAAAAGAAGGATCTCTTTGTCTGCCTGAATTCCAAGGGCTTTCAGAGCTATTACAATTGGCACATCTTCGTGAATGGAATTATGCCGGAGGTATATCTTGCCCTTCTTCGTAGCTACATATGTTTTTGACTTGAGGCCGCCGTGAGTAGAGCTAGGATATATTGAAATTTTATGTCTGACAAACAGTATTGAAGTGAGATTACGCACGATGTACAAGAGGCTTGAACAACACCCTTGACTGAGTCCGTCTCAACTATAATACGATTTTTGCTGAGTTGTTCTTGTACCAGGATGACTTTTTCAGTGCCCTTGACGACAAAGTAACCTCCTGGATCGAGTGGACATTCCGTCATACGGGCCAACTGAGCCTCATTTTTTCCCGTCAATATACACTTGTTGCTCCTCAGCATGATGGGAAGACGACCGATGTTGACGTTGGGCCTCCTAACGACACTCTTGCCACGGGTGTATTGAATCGTTACGACGACTGGTGCGCTGTAAGTTATATCGCGCAAACGACATTCATGAGGCGTGATGCTTTTGTCTATAGCGTCGAGATCCGTTCGGTCTGGATATCCAACATTGATGTCTGTATACTTCAACCAGAAACGGGGGTCCACGTCTGATGTGACTTTGTTGTTAGCTTTAACGATATTTTTGATGTCTACATCGACAAAATAGTTGAACGAGTCGATGTGCTGCTTGACAAGACCTTTGACTTTTAAGAAAGCGGGTAGCAATAGCCATTTGTCCTATGAGCGATGTTATGATGAGTAGTAGCATGAAACCGGTGGTGTCCGACATACCTCTACACTCTTTATTGGGTCCACCAAGCCTAAACCACGCCAATTGGTGCGATTAAGATGCTCCCATTCGTTTACCTCCTCCCCAAGATTGGCCATTCCGTGTTAATAAGATTTGAGTCGTGGATGTAAGAAAAAGATAATACCCGTCTACGGTCACGTGAGTTTATCGTGCCGGCTTGCTTACCGTTATCGTTAACAGTTCCTTAACCCATCGTAGAATGAGCTGTCCATGACCCATTATCCATTGCGAAATACTCACTCAGATATACATGTTGAGTCTGTAGTCTACTTCTGCTCAAGCAAGCCTGTACAGTACGCTGTACCAAAGACCAGAATTACTTACCGGTAGTTACGTAATGGTCATTTGATCAGGTGCCTAATTTATCGTGATCGACGGCACCGAAAGCTCACGACTGACCTTGACCGCTACGTTTGGCTTGCGGCGTGTATATCCTCTTATCTATCATTTAGGTCAATGAATTAGGGGAAATTAGGTGATTTTGTTCATTTTTACTCGAGGAAAACCTTACTAATCTATCATGAATTCTCGTTCTTTAACAAATGTGCTCGACTGGCTCGGTTGTAATTGATATACTTCAACTTCTCGACCCGACTGTGCGACCCTAACGCCCACGTAACCATTTGTCGCTACTAACATATACCCTCAGCTTTGACTCCCCACGCAGTCAGACTAGGCTCGTCGCAGCCTCCAAAGCTGAATCGCTTGACGCTCTCTTTTACACCTTCCTTTATGCCGCTATAGAAAACAGGATGCACAACGACTACGAGGCAATGTCTCGTATTGTCAAAAGTAACTGCAGTATGTCAAAATCACAGTCTTTTTCTGAGCTGAGTTTATGTATTCATTATCCTCAGTTGCTTCATTCACATTCCTGGTTTGGGAAACTCTGGTAACGTCCGGGGACGAAGTCGAATACATATGGCCGTGAGCAACTGCTCTATCTCTAGTCATACACCCCTTCATATCATGACTGTCTTCCGACATGTTAGAAAACCAACACAGTCTTTTTTTAAGTGGCTGTACTTTTTTCTTCGTTATTTCAACATGCTCGCACAACTGTAGGCCTACCAGTTAGTTCAATATTCATTTACACTAACGTTTTTTTCCCCAGCTGGCATCAATTTGCAATCCCACGTATCATTTCTGGACACATCTCTAACCAAGTATGCAAAGCTTGGTATATCTACACGATCATAATCACGCAAGCAATGGCCACAGCTGTAGAGATCATTCTGGCGACGCGAGGTAAGTCTTGCTTTCGTCAAGTGCTAGCCCTACGTCATGACAGGATTGCAGTACTGATTTCAGTCATTCATACAGTGTATGCTCTGTATAACAAAAGCCGTCGTGTAGGAGGCCTTTTGTACGCTTTGATTTTGATTGAAATTATCGCCATGACCGCCAACAGCATTCACACCATCCCTATCATTGAACACGCTGTAATCTGTGTCTTGGTTAAGCCTCCACAACAAATTCTTTATTACAGGTCTGATAAATGACTGAGATACATTTGGTGTTTGACTCAGTATATCCTCTAGCATATCGGTGTTCACCACTCAGAGCGCCCTTATGGGCCTTACCCTCATTAAGCACTTTTTTGCCATGCGTAATGGCTGGGGAAGGACACCCCTTGTATCACTTCTTATGCGTGATGGAATAGCGGTCTATCTTGTAATGTTCGGTGAGCCATATCGGCACTTTAAAGTTACTCCCTTTCTTGGCTAATTTATTTTTTCCCAAAGTATTAATTGCTTCAACCGTTATCTATTGCCTCTCGGGAAATGAGCTCACTGTGATTGTCTTCTTGTGAATCCTTTCTGGCAAATCTGCCCCTTGACTGATTTACTAACTTCACCCCATAGTTGGCTGCTATCCTTGTTATCATCTACCGTAAGCCAGATTTCATGCTTAATTCCTGCGCGCTTATAGCTCTCGATAGGGCTGTCGTTTGATAGTCAACATGCAACGTCTTGCAACAATGGCGGAACGGCACTCCACTTCCGGTGTTCAACTGTCTACTGAGATTGCGCTAGACGTATCGTGTCCCACTTTAGAATGATAACTTACATTTGGTATATTGACGTGTTGTCAGTGTCCAGCTACGTCCAATTTTGGAGGTTTCGCTGGGATTTACTTGGTAGTCATTGATACTATAATTCAGCAGTAATTTCCTGGATCTAATTTCAGTTCGAGGATATTCATTGTGAATGTGTGATAGCCTCAATGTTTCATCACAGGTCCGTCCCAGTAGAAATCAAATGGTCTGAGGCGCATATTTTATAATACTCAGTTAATCCAAAGTTTCGTATTGGGTTCGTTCGGTGCATCTCAGTAACATTGCTTTTAGGCCAAAAGACCCTGACAAGCGAGCTGACACAGGTTTGGAGGTTTGAGGTTTGGTATACCACAACAGCCAGAGAGACCGAACTCTAAGTCAGGATAATACAGTACAGCAGGAAAAAATATGTATCATACATCACACTAAGTGGTGTTTGGCATAATTATCTAATCTAGAAAGAATGTCACTTTGTTCTTCACGGGATTTTCGGGCGCTGGGCTTAAGATTAATATGAGACACAGGGATGCGTCAATCATCACGCACAAGGTCTGAGCGAAGCCAGGCAAGTCAGTAGGATTATTTATCATGCCGAGTTCAACAAGAGCGATTTGACGGGAAGCCAGCCTGTGGCAATTCTCAGTAAAGAACTACTCCTGAACAACCGGCACCTACTTTGACTTGGGACTTGGGGGCATGCTGTGGTGTTTCCTGTGGGGTGGCCAATCTGGAGCGGGGACTTTAGGTTGCGTTGCAGTGTCAACATTATCAGACTTCTGAGCCCTTCTTGCTTCCTTTTCTTGTCTCTTTTTCTGCTGATATTATAATTGACTCTATAGAACCAGCATCTGATTAATCATACCTTCAAAGCGTTCCGCGCTCGTTCTTCTTCGATCAGACTTGGTAAGAGCACGTCGTCGTTGCGATGGCTATATTTTACACCAACGAAATTCAAAGTCTTTTGAATTTCGTCCTCTTCTGCCACTTGTGGGGGATCTGCGTCCATCATTGCACTGAGAACAAAAACAAGGCAAAATATATACCAGACAACTAACCATCGTCGAAAAGAAGGGCACTTAGACCTTGCAAGTCTGCCTATGAAAAGCCGTGTGATCGAGCGATGTCACACCTGCCACTCATGACACTCACCTCTTCCTTGCTTCCTCTTGTATCTGCTTCGTACACCCATTTTTCTGCACTCGGCTTCTGCTTTTTAACTTTGCCAGCACCAAGATGCGCGAGCGCCCAATCCAGTTCCACAATGGAAGCTCTTTCGATCTGTTTGGGAAAAGGGAAGCCAGAAAAAGGAATACGTTTGAATTATGCCTTACTGCCATTTTTGTAGCCAGGTTTGTTTCATGAAGCTTGAAGATATTTTTTATGCCAAAGAGTTCGCCGTGTCTGTGGGTATCACCTTGGACACCTTGAAAGTATCTGGTTGTACAAGTAGGATTAAGTATTCATGAGGACATTGAATATGAATATTCGGACCTTGTTTGTATACTTGCTTGATATCCAATAGCCATCTGTTGTTGTTTATAAAGTTGGCGAGCATATATGAGCTCCTCAATTGAACCTGCCCCCAAAAGCCGATAGACGGATACATCGCGTGTCTGGCCAAATCGATAAGCTCGATCCATTGCCTGTAGATCATGCGCAGGGTCTAATGCATAGCCAGTGAGAATCGGGTTAAAATATATTGTTAATGACATACTCCAATTCGGATCTGTATGAAGACTTATTCAAACTCTACGGCTATAACGCAAATTCACAAAGATCAACTCACCAAAGATAACCACTTTGTTAGCACCAGTCAGATTAAGTCCAGTGCCACCGGCCAGCGTAGATATCAAGAATATGAATATATCTGAGTCCCGATGAAACCTGTCGATCATCGGCATTCCTGTGCAGTGGTGGTTATATGTGTTTAGTATAATGGGTCCACTCAAACATACTGTCTGCTTGTTTGGTCGATCCATCCAATGTCAGAAAACCATAACCTATGCTCAGCTGCAATGATGTCATTATGAATAAAATGAAGCTCGATACTAACTGTTGGATTTTAAATGGAACTCGAGCATATCAAGCAGCTTGACAGACTTCGTGAATATTAATACCTTGTTTGAATGGTCTTTCCTCCACTCTGTCAGTAGAGTGTTCAGCACCTTCCAAATTTGATGGTTAGTTTGGTATTGTAACAAGACGATCCGATTCGACGGGGTAGATGATTACTACACTCACCACCCATTTTCCGCAAAACTGTGGTTGCAGCATGGCAGTTCCATACTTCGGAATGCACTCCATAGAAAAAGCCGCTTCACTTAATTCACGATGTCTGACAGTCTATAGTTGATTTTACTTCAATGAGGGAAGCCACGAAAAAAATTTATAAAAGGTACCTGTTCTGCAGTATCATTTGGAGCTAAATCAAGATGAGCACAGGCACAAAGGGGGACAGAGAGAAGATCCGTACCAGGCAATATTAAGGCTAAATGGTTAGATATTTTAATGAGAATGGACATGTACTTTAGTACATCTCCTTTTTCTATTGCATGACAGCACTCTTTACGCCTGGGTAAGGGCATCAGTAATAGTAATGAACACGCAACGCTGGACACAACAGGCGTACTGTTTCCTGGAACCACAGTCGCATAGCTCATCTTTATGGATCATATTCCGGACAGGTTCCATTTCCAAGATTCGCTTGTAAACGGTAATCTGGGTAGGAGTCAAGGGACAGAAAACAACCTCGTCTGTTTTCGTTGGCAGCTGTGAAATATGGGTTTCCTGGAAATGTTTGGGGGCACCGAGTACGGTCCTTACCTGGTCTTTAATAATGTCTTTTGTTCTTCTCCATTTTAAGCCTGGAGCACCTTTACCAGCAAGTGATCAGCTTACCTTCGCTTGAAAAATAATGGTAGTAGTTTATCTTTCAAAGTCCTTGCAACGATCTGTCAAACGTTTAGCGATGATAATGATATCGTGATTGTAAATACTACCAGTGCCTTTGCTCTCTCCTCTTCAGTTGCCCCAGCAGATTGCCCCATCGTCAATGGTTTCGTTACGTAACCTTTCCATTGTTTACCAGTGCCTAACCGGCCGGGGTTTGTCCAATCCAAAATTGTCCACATTTCTGCGTAAGAGTTCTGGATAGCAGTACCTGTCAAGCCAAATCTCCTCTGACAAGTAAAACGGTTATATGCTTCGGTAATTTTTGATCTTGGATTTTTCACTCGGTGGGCCTCGTCCACAATAATGCATGACCACGCAAGATCGTCAAGTCTGGATATGTCACGACGAGCTAAATCGAATGATGTGAGGACTGTCCGTTCCACTTAGTCATGAGGATATGTATGGCATTGTGTGAAACGTGATTAACTACTTACCTACATCTAACCTTCCCATTTTGAAGTCTGTCAGAACCGACTCTCTTTGACTCGGCGTATTCGTGTATAAACCAACTTCGAAATAACCCCACTTCCTTCCGATAAGGATAACAGCAATTAAAATCAGGGATTGACATACCACTTGGAATTCCCTCTCCCAATTGTGAACAACAGTGCTCGGAGCAATAATCAGACAGGTTGGCCAGATTGCGTCGGCAGCAGGAAGTCCGCGTTCTTCCCTCCATTCACGGCCGTCCTGTAATTTAGATACATGCTTTCGCCGACGCTCAATGTCTCGCTTGTCACCATATTTCTTCATTACAGCACTTAAAAAAGCAATAACTTGGACAGTTTTACCTGAACCATTCGTCAGTATAAGCATGATACTATAATCACAAAGAAACTCGCCCTAGCGATTATCAACATGATGAGAACGACGACTGAATCATGATCATAAAAAAACGCACCAGGCCCATGTCATCACCAAGTAAACCTCCTCTGCCTTCATTATATCTCTCCCACAGAAATTTGGTTCCATCGCGCTGATACTCTCGTAGATATGTGTTGATAGATGCAGGGACTATGATACTGTGCTTGTGATTTAGAACTAGGGGGCCAAGGGGACTTTGTCCTCGCCCCAGTGAAAAATTTGGGCGAGGATAGAATTCCTGATAAAATAGTTAACCAGGCTCCCATAACACTGATGATCAACGCACTGGAATGGCACGTGTGTCCGACTCCGACTCTGACTCTGTTATTGAGTCAGAACGCACTACAGGGGACGGACGACCTGGAACTGATATGGCCAACTGAGAATCTCCTACACAGTATGTATGTTTTGACACTCACCGCTCCCCTTGTTTGAAAGCACTTCAGGAGATGAGGGCATGCCCAAATCAGACTCTGGATCTGTAGCCGAATTGTCTACAAGCAACACATACAGTCGATATCACCCCCCACAGGTTGCGATTTCGGACTTACCAGGGTCAAGCACCTTCCTCCGCTTGTTTGTGGACGTTTCTAGAGGTGACGAACAAGACCTACGTTTGGTGGCTCCTGCGATATCTTCGAGTCCAGACTCAGAATCTGGAGGCATAATAATAAATATGAGAAAACGCAGGTCGGTATGAATACCTGTTGTGGAGTCATCTTCAACATGAGCTGGAGAACCCTCAGTAGCAAGTGAATTTCTAGTTGATTTAACAAAGTCAGCCAATGTTTTCAACACAACGGGTTTATCTGTATCAGATTCGCGTCCTGGCTCGGATGTATAGTCTTCTTCACTTATTTCTGCCCCTTTGTCGGATATTATAGCATCATCCTCTGATGCTGAACATAGTTCTATGTCATTACCTGTAGAGATATGGGGTAAGAAGTCGAAGTTATATTTGCTTGAGATCGTACCAAAAAATTCCAAAAGCGGGTTGACACGACGACGTATTTCTTTTGGCCGCTGGCTGGCTGTGGTACGATCAATATTCCAAAAAGACTGAATGAAATGACTCTACACACGGTTTACTGAAGATGAGCCTCGTTGCTCTGAGTCGCCTTTCCCTCTTTGGTGGACTGTGGAGTAAGCTGACGATGCTCTTGAGGGTTTTGATTTACGCCTTTTCTTGGGTTCATACACGTATACACCAGTGTTGAATTCAGGGTCTGAATCAAGTTCTGTTGAATAGCATTGAGCGACACTAGTACTCGGTAGGTCAAGTCTACATACCAAGAGGGGCTGGGATGGAGCGCAAATTCCCTGCGTAGTTTTTTGAAGGATACTATCAATAGTGAGTACGTTGTATTCGCCAGAAAGTACCAACTTTGATTGTATCCAGGTAACCTTGTCCTTTTCTCGATTTCAGACATGGCGGAATATTCAAACGTGCATGAAACACTTCAAGTTAACGTCGCGCTGGAAATTAATCACGTCGATGGTCACGTGATAAACAGTCACAATATTCTAAATCCACGTTGATAATCAATATCTCAAAGTGAAAACATTCGTTATTAACACAAATACAGGACAGGATACATCGACAATTTACTACACATGCATGGATAGTGAAACTTGAAAGATAGCCCCATCGGTGAGCATGAACTGAAAGATGGGATAACAGGGCTGGCTAATCGAAAGCCTCCTCCGCACTACGGCGGACCAAACGACGGACCTTCTTCTTGTAGGCTAGTATAGTAAGGTGAGATTGAATATGAAAGGTAACAGTGTTTGCAATCAAGCATACCAGCCATATCAGTGCGGACTTCCTTTGCCGCATCCACATTAGCAGGGCTGTCTGTGTTTGGAGTGTCCGATGACAGCAGAGAAATGACGCTCAGAAGCTTGGATTACACCATAAGCCATCGTAGGATCTAGTACTGAGAAATGGTCTTACAATAGATTCAACGGTGTGAACTGGCATCCATCTCTCGCCCGCGTCTTCATATCCATATTCATCGTGACCAGGCTTATGCTAGAATATGGATGAGCCGATCAGCAGGAATAGATTTGTATAGAAAAGATACTTGCTAGGATAGATACACAGACAGTACCATCAGAATAGACTATAAGGTGATCAGGCCTGACATCTCGGACAGGCCACCATCAGACTCACTATTGGGGTGCCACATTGGAGTGATAAATCGCATCGTTGGTGGAAGCAAAGGAAATTCTGACGGAAAAGTAAGGCGAGCTTTGAAAAATCCTCCTTCACTGCGTAGGAAATAAATAATGAACTACGAGTTTACTTCGATATACAAGACCAGCCTACTAGAGAGTATCCGGAGGGCTAGAGAAGGATAAGACTTCGTGATGCCCATAGAGTGCGATCTACATACCCAATAATCAAGATCTCCCATTCATACAAATTGTTTTCATCAACAAGTCCTTTTCCCGTCATTCTGTCAGGAATCGGTTGAAGATCGAGTTCGTGGAGAGAACCTACACTAACCTGCCGAAAATCCCTCTACAGGATGTTTGGTGAGCTCAGCAAGCTGGCGGCGAAGTAGAAGAGTGTTTGACGGTGGAGGTGTTCCGGGCTTGGACATTGCGTTGCACAGGACAGAGTTCGCAGATTGCAGGTCGAGGTCAGAGGGAGAGATCCTTTGTGGCTATCTGCATCGAAGCAAACAAAGTATAGACATATTCGTGGGAAAAGGATAGTCTCCCATAGACAGACCTGATCGGAGAAAGAAAGTCGTTTCGGAAAAGGAGAAGCCGATCCGGCAAGTGCCTACCATTTAGGAAGTCGTTCCTCCTATCTCATGCATGCCACCTGAAAATCTGTCAATTCGAAGGCAGTAAATACCTGCCAGAAATTGACATTTTCTTGTTCGACGCCCATCATAATGATCCCGATTATGATGAACACCGACACAGCTATAATATGAGTATTTAAATAGGGCAGTTTATCGCATAGTGGATACAGAATTATATCCAGCATGGCCATATTGACGAGCTCCCAGGAATTTCTTTCTGACCTGCAGATTACAAAAGTAAGAGCCGTTGCGACCTATAAATTCTTACATTCAGAATAATGGTGATTATACGTTGTTTTAGTACTTCAATGGTAAGTACCTCAACTTTAACCTAAATGCTACACAGAATTAACTTCGTGCTGTGACCCCCACCAGTCGCTTTTCTAGGAATTTGGGTAGGAGAACTCTGTATCTTAACTGGCATCTAACTGAACGGTATACATAGGTATTAGATTATTGCGTTACATTCGAAGACGAAGTGGGAGCTCCACCCTCAATGTTTACGTGCGAGATAATACTAATCAAAATATAATAGGTCCGCTGGGTGTGGGGACGAAAATGGGATTATACGCGATTAATATTCATATTTTCGCGCTACCTACCATTTTTCGCTGTTATTGTGACTATTTGTGGTATGTTAATCTACTTGCCACTCCTACTTTGGTTTTCCCTGATGTTGAACAATGAGGTCAGTCGCCATGCAAAACCCAAATGGTAATGTCAGTATCTAAGCTTCAAACCATACTATATCTCCTACATTTTACTGATATTCAATTTCAAAAGTGCAAGACCTACAATAGTGTTTGGGAAGGTGGGTTGCATCATACCGTACTTCCAATTTATAAACAAGCTGACTTCCCGCCTATCGCAAAAGCTGCCTGCGCTTTGGCTATCATCTCCACAGAAGGTCCGTATATCTCATAATCTCCACTAGTTGAGACCAACATAATATTCCAACTGGATATCTCATAGCCTTGCTTGCCTTGCGGACTTACGCCTTCTGGAATCGAAGCAAGAAATTGCTGGTGTGCCTGCTTGTTTGTGCTGCTGTGAGTTCCTCATTTTAGTTAAGCTTGTAACTGGGTTGAGAAAAATAATCTTTCATGTCTTTCAGCTCTTTATTGCGGTGGCTTTTGTCTTGTCAACCAAAATACACGACTCCCAGAGCTCTTGTGAATAAGGACCTTTATATCTATTGGTGATTTTTTTGTAATACTCATCTTGTTCTCACAGTAAACCCGACAGGATGTCTTTTTACGGGCGACAAAACGGAAGCCATCAAATATGCATTTCTCGTGTTATATGAGTGCTGTTAGTTTCGTCTCATCGGAACGACTGTAATATGCAGTCTTTGGTTGGCACTGGTTACTGACAGCACTCACTCAAACATACTAGTGCTTCTATTCCTGACTACATACAAGATGGCCAAACATTACCATTCTTCAAAGAGTGTATTAATTTTAACTTTCTATCGCGGCAGTATGGTGAACATGGGCAGCATAATTGGTTTGTGGTCACATCTTAGTGAAGTTGTTTTGTCCTGAAGTAGGTGGTTTTTTTTTGCATATGGAAAACAGTCATATCAATTGTGAATATCACCGGACTGGTTACTTTTCCGGTGGGTTTTCCCATTTACACATAAGTTCTTAGGATCAATCTAATTCATATTCACACTTAGTATGGATATACGCAGCTTTTTTCCTCGTATGTCTATTGTCTATTGTCTATACTCACAATTTACCCTGTCCCCCACTATGGTTACACCCTTATCTACACTCGCTGACATCATCCCTTGCTAACAGACTACAGCTTGTCGTACACAGCGTACTTGCATCACGTATCCTCTTCAATCTTCGTAAAAGTGATGCACATGAGCTTTATATTACTAACAATAGCCTAAGTATGGCTCCGAGTACTCTCCTTTTTGCAGACCCAGCTTAGGAGGTAAAGGAGTAATGCATCTTAGTGAATGTGACAAATTTTGTGCCAGGAATATATACTAGTTTTTCAGTACTGTACAAGAAACTCAGTATTGAAAAACAACAACTGAGGTATAGATAACAAGATCTTTGTAAATGAGTGCCAAGGTTGTTTACTACAGAGATCACAGTAGGGAATGTACTACTTTAAAGAGAATGGACAAGAGGGTGTACTGTACTTGTATGTAGTGACAGAGATGTGATAGAGTGTGAAGAATCAGAAGAGGGAGCATAGAGAAAGCAAGTGATTGGGATAAAGCTGGAGCTTTGCAGCCCCAATCCATATGGGGTGTCTGAGCCTAGGAAAGGAGCCAAAATGAGCCGGATGTGGGTGGGAGGGCATCTTCCTTGCCCCTCCATCACACCTAATGTCACCATTTTCTATCTGCTTCCATTGCTGATCTGTTGACCACCATGTGCCACTGCTAATACCAGCAAAGCCCCGGTGTCGATGATGAGAAATGCTGTTAGAAAACCACACACAAAAACAAACTAACACACAATCCTCCCAGATTCCACAGAACTTGTTTATGGGCTTTGCCTCCTAGAACAGTGGAGTGGTCTGGTTGTTCGTGGGGTGGTACATATAAAGATCCTTCAAAGTAAAACCCAGAGATGTATGAGTGTGGGTTTTGAGGAGGAGGGATAGTTGAATTTATAGAAGATAGGTGCTTAGTGACGAGTATAAACGAGCACTACCTTGCTAATCGTAGCACAAGGTAGGTTTGAGAACGACAATATGACGAGGTTCCCAGTGATAGCAGGCTCCTGACGCACAAACTGTAGTGCTCAGAAGGACTCTAATCGAAAGGGATAACAATGACTTCAAAAGTGGGAAGTGACGATGACAGCAATTAACAGTGGTAGCAGTGGGAAGTGTTGTGACCACACTGGATCACAAGTAGCAGAGAGTAGTGAACTTGAGATTAGAGAAGAAGTCTGGATTCGAGTTCTTGTTTTTTTTTTACAAGGTAAAATACAGGGGTTTATATAGTGAAAGAAAAGTAGGCTATGCACAGTATAGCTGTGCAAAAAGAATGAGAAAGAACATGAAGGAAGGAATGTACACTGACAAATCCTGCGTAGGTAGTACAGGATAAGATTGTCAAAAAAAGGAAAAGAAAGGGATAGAACAATAAATGCTGTGAGTAATGTCACAGGTTTGTACAGCCATAAAGTAAAGTCCAATAGCAAAAAGAGAGCAGGAAAATCATGATGTCATGGAAAGATGCAGTAAAAAAAGGGCAAGGCAAAACACTATCAGTATCAACACAGTTCCTTTATTGTCAGTCAGGTATTCTAAAAAAATATGTGTCCATAAAAATGATTCAAAAATCAAAAATAATCGCACTGTAAATGAATGTTCTGCTGAAGAAAAAGAAACTGGAGCCACCGGTCCACCATCTAGTCCAAATCTGACAGTTCCATGGCCTTACCAATGGACTGGTTGTGTTGGACCACCTGATCAAACGAGGGAGGGAGAGGAGTAGTTCCAATTTGGAACAAGTGAGTCCCAGGCAGCGTATGGTAAGTGTAGCTGTAGCGAAGACGATGGACAAAAGATAAGTGTACTCAAGTGAATGGGACAGCGATGAACATGGGCAATACAAGGGGATGAACCTTCTCCAGCTCAAAAACTACCCACCCACGCTCCAACCAGGCAAGACGAGCGACCGATGTTTTGATAGTATATGATGGCAGATTGATGTCATGAAGATGGACCTTTTGCCCTATTTGGACCGGCCGCTGGGGCTTTGCTGATATCAGCAGTGGCATGTGGTAGTCAACGGATCGGCGACGGAAGCGGATAGGAAGTGGTGACATCAGAAATGGTGGGGGTGCAAATAAGATGAGGAGGAGGAGGGTGGAGGTGACGAAAAAGTGGATTAGAATGGGGATCCAAAAACGACCGTCGGGTGAGAATAAAAAGGAGAGGAAGGGGCCCATGGTGGTGCTAGGCAAAGGAAGGGGAGTAAGGGAAACGACAAAAGCAAGGGCGCAATGCAATGTGTAGCCAGTGGCGACGCGAAAATTTGCCGAAATGCCGAAATGCGGAAAGTACCGAATGGAAAAGCAAAGGTGAGCGTGACTGGATTGCCTAATAGAGGTGATGCTGATCAGCCACAAGATTGAAAAAGGCAATATTAATTACTATTCCACGTGGCACTGTGCCTGTGTGGCGCAAAGGCGAGTCTTTTTGAATATTTGCTTTGTTATTGACACCTGTCCATGCTACCAATCAACTTTGGTGCATGACAGCGCTCCAGGCGACGGCCCTGTAGTGCTCTGGGAGAAGAGACACATTATCATATACAC